TTACATGGAAAAGTGTTCCAAATACCCATGGAAATTCCATGTTTTTTCCATCCATGCAAAAAACCATGGAATTTCCATGGGTATTTGGAACACTTTTCCAAGGTAAACTCATGGGTTTTTCATGGTAAAATAGCATGTTTTGTTTTCAAGTTTTTTGATCTAATATTATTTGAATTGTCATTTTAAACCATAAAAAGAAAATTTTATTACCCAAGTTGCTAATATTATTGAGTTTTTTTAATCAATGGGATCGCTTTCAACGAATAAAATAAATAAACAAAAACTATTACTAAAAACAAAACAAAATTGTTGGTGCGTGTCAAACAGGTAATTTTTGCGCGCTATGAAATATTCAATTTGATTGTAAAATTACTAAATAAATTAAGAGATGAGTTCACTTTTAAATGGGATAAAATGATACATTTAGCATCATTTTAGAGAATTAAAGTAAAAACGTCAATATTTTGACCTTGTAGCTGTATTTTAGTGTGAAAAGTAAAATATAAATCGGAGATTAAGTTTATCATTTAATTTCAAAAGAAATAAAACAAATAATAATACAAATATTAACCTATATTTTTACTGCAAACATTACTCAGCTAAATAATAGTATTGAGATCTTTCTTTGTAACCTTTTTTGATATCTGCTGCCGGTTTCTCTAAAAATATGAATATATTAAGTAAATATTATATATTAACCATTCATATTATTATTGCTAATAAGTGCCAATTATATTCCGTATATATAATAAAATACATGGAGAGTATCCTGAAGCCTATCTTTATTGTGCGTTCTCTCAACGATATCTTAAATCAACTTGATGTGTCGTTCTGCACGGTCATTAACAACTGCAAGTTCTTACACACTTTGTGAAGTGTGTAAAAGACTAAGAGATTTCCTCATTTTCACATGCCTCGATGCCTTTTTCTTACAAGAGGAGAATTTTTTTTTTGGAATTATCCAATAGCAAGAACAAAATGTGAGACTGGTCATTGACAAAATCACCTAGTTTAGAAGTGGGAACATTTTCAATAATAGATTTAGGTTTTTTTTTAACCAGATCTTGCAACTTTGGGACATCATATCACATAGGATAGCAGCTTAGTTAACATATTGTTCTTCGTTTTAAATTTCAGTTCCCTATCAGCAAGAGCAAAAACTACTTGTTTGGGGGACAGGTACCAAGTGTGACGACTGAGGCTTTGGTAAAGAACCTTTTCCACAACTGCAAATTCTTTAAACTTGTCCATTGCTTGTAGCTGAAAAGAAATATTGAATACCATCAAACCATTTGATGGTGCTTGAGAAGCCATTACGCATTTTAGAAAGAAGAAGCCGTGAAAAAATACAATGTAGTTGGTTGCAGCCATCAGATTACTTAACGTGCTTATATTACCAGATTCGGAATCAACTGGGTAGTATATTCGAATCATTTGAATCACCAGCAAGTAGATGCAGTCTGCCATTAATATTGCTTCATGATGAGCTCCTGGTTGTTTAAATGAGAAGTTTGGTAACTCAGCTCCTAGAAAAAATGCCAGAAGCTTACTAGGATACCTGTAATCTCCTATCTAGAAAGTACTCTGACAAAGAGCTGTGGTACAGAATTCTTTTGTATCCAAGGCAAGTTTGCACAACAAAGAGTCAGGTCTAAAGGCATCTTGAATCCAGTCAAATTTCACAATTCTCTCTAGTTTGTTTACATCTTCATAAATATGCGGCCAATTTTTTTTGGAGAGTAACATATAGCTTCCTGCTGGGACTATTGGTGTGACCAAATATTTCCTTCATTATATGAGCTATTTCATAAATGCAATGTATGCACATTAGCCTAAGAACTGGTTTACCTAGGGCATACGAAATAATAATACTTATGGCACCTTTTTTCCTTCATGTATAACTAGATGATGTGTCCGAACACAATCCAATAATCTGATCAGACATCACATAGTATTCAAGCATAGCTTGAATGACAGTAGCCATTCAAGCTTGATCACTTCCCTTAGAACTTTTGATTTTTAAGATACCCAGAAGAAATTCTAGCGGATTAGACTCTCATGAAAATGCGGTTATGGCAATTCTATCTTCATTTTTAGATACTCCTTTTTCACAATTGTATCTTTTCAATATTTTTGTGTCAAAGTGTACCACAATTTTCAAACCCCTTATTTTATCTAAATTCTCCTCCTTGATCATCTGTGCCTCAGACTCCACAATTGTATTGGTCTTTGTGCATAGAGTTGATCTTGATATAGGGATATTAAGATCAACTCTAATTTTTTTCCTGTGCTCTGTGAACATTTTCACTGAATATCTTATCAACCCCTAACTTAACCATATCCCCTCTCAGAAAACACATCAAAAATTTTATGTCTTCACTTTCAGTCTCGTCATCCCTATTTTTATCAAATTTAATTAAATCATATATGTTTGATTTTTGAATAAAAAAAGAGCACTTATCTCTTTCAAAAAGCTGTCCACCTTCTTTGTGTAGCTGCCCTCGGGCAAATCTAGTTTTTAACCATTTATAAAGTGTGATGCTCTTTAATTTTCTTTTAATTCTGTTCTTTATAATTTGTTCGGCCACATACTATACTTTATAGTTTGTTCGGCCACATACTATACTTTATAGTTTGTTCGGTCACATACTATACTTTATAGTTTGTTCAGCCACATACTATACTTTATAGTTTGTTCGGTCACAGTGAAAGTATAGTTAAACCACATTATAATTTAATAATGATTACTATCAATGAAAAAATAATGACTAAATTTTAAAATCAAGTTTATACCTGAGTTTTAGTAAGCAAAGAGTTTTGGTAAGTAAAGAGTTTAGTATTTGTTGAAAACAACTTATAAAAGTGATTTAATAATAAATTAGCTCGAGTTATTAGACACGCATCATTAATTTCTATTGTTCGCCAAGCTTTTGTCGAAATTATGTTTGAATAATATTAGTTTTTACTCAAGATATATATATTAAAAAAAAGGAAAATGACCTAAATAACCATTCGCTAGAACTAGAGACTTTTTTTTTTGAATTTTTTTTTTTTTCGTCTTCATGATTAAAATGATGCAGAATGCAGTATTCCGCACATTAAAATTCAATATGATATTTTTTGAGACACCCTTATATACATACTAACTAATTTTCTTTATTTACTATTTCATATATACTTATAACTATTATCTATTATAACTTAGTTTATAATTACGCATTATACGCATTTACAAATATTGCCAAATGTTGGGTAACATATACATAGAAAAAAGTAGCACTTAATATATCATTATTTATAAATAACATTTATAAGACTATTACCTCTTTTTCGCCTAAGCTATCTGCATGATGTACAACATTATTTAAATTGCCAGTCAAACCTGCCTGGTGATAATGTAGTAATTTAAATAAAATGAAAAAGTTAAAATAAAAATATTTATGCACATATATAAATGTTACCTGTATGTTAATAACATTTATATAGAACAAGGCAGCAACAAATATATTATTACTTATAAACCGTAATTTAAAAAAAGTTTTCTTCTTCGTCCGATCTATCTGAAAGGTGTAAAGCATTATTTCTATCGCCAGTCAAACTTACCTGTTAATAATGCAGTAATTTAAATAAAATGATTTTATTTAAATTGTTCATTATTAAAATAAAAGAATTTATGATTATACTATTAAATTCAAAAATTTATTATATTTTTACTACTTAAAACTTAACAAATGTAATAAATATGTAATTTATTAAGTATAGTAATGTAAAAACATAAAAAATATAATAATAAAGAGTGTGGATAAATTAATTTATTTTAACTTTAGACGAACACTTCATACAAGTATAAATATAAACAAATAAAAATAATTAAATATAAACAAATAAAAATAATTGTATTATAATAAATAATAGTTACTATTTATAAACATTGCTTTTATTTGCTTATATTTATCCTTACAAGTTGGATCCCAAAGATTACGCTAATTTTTTTCGGTTAATTTAAACTTAATTCACCGGTTTATTTAGACAGACTTTGAACTATTTAAAAAAATATTAAACGCATATAAAAACTGACAATGTTATAAATGATGTAAATGATGAACAATATTATTTATATCGCCTTACGGAATTTTTATTTGATAAAACAACCCTTATTGAATAATTCCGTAAGGGTTATTTTATCAAATTAAAACTAAATTCATTAAAGTAAAAATGTCAGCTGCGGAAGAAGTAGACTTTTCACCAATAAAATTACAACTCAACATGTAAAATGTAATTCATTTCATTTTTAATACCAGTCCATTTTTTCCTCATTCTTTCAGTCTACTAGCTTTCTAATAGATAGAGGGACTATATTGTCTGACTTTTTTTTTTGTAATCTTGCAAATGAATTTTCCACATTTTTCTGATATTTTTATTTTATTTATCTAATGTTTAAGCTTGATATAAGAGTTTAAATTAAGAATGAGATTTAGAAGAAAAGATTAAACCAAAGCTGATGTTGCTGCTGGTGACCAAAAACCAAAGCTGATGTTGCTGTTGGTGAAGAGTTAGTTAGTATTAATATAATCTAATTGACACTTATTTTAGTAACAATCATTATTTTAAAGTTGATTCATTCAAGTCTTTTTGTTGAGATTAAAATTATTCTCAAAAAAACATTTAACAACACTTGAAAACTTGTTTTCTTTTCTTCTATATATTTCTAATTTCTTTTCTACTCTGACTTGATGATGTTAGAAATGAAGTTAAGAAAATTTTTCCATAAAAAAGAACCGCAATTATAAATAAAATAAGTTTTTTTCTTTCCAAAATCATTTACAACAACAAATACAACAACAACGCCAACAACAACGAAGACGACAACTAAAATAGTAATATCAACAATAACAACAATAATAATATTATCATTATCACTTTTTTTATATTATTACTATTATAATTGTTATTGTTATTATCTATAATATTTTGTTTTTTATTTGTACTAAAATCTTTAGATACTGCAAGGAGACTCAGAGCAAGCTTTACAAGCTTCTTCTCAGAAAAAAAGATGGATTTTTAAAAGAAAACTTACTATTGTTGCATTTTCATTTCAAAGTTTAATTTTAGGAATGGAATACAGTCTAACATTTTTAACTCTATGGTTATACATTAAAGAAATGATAAACACTAGTTATCCTAAATTTTATTACTCTTTGGTGTCTATATCGTATTTGTTATCTTCAGCAACTATTACTCCTATTATTGGTAGAATAGTTGATAAAACTCGCCTTGTTCGTTTAACTTTTTTAACTTGTAACTTATTTTTAGTTGTTGGAAATGTATTATACAGCATCCATTTTTCTCCGTGGTTTTTAGTCGTCGGAAGATTTTTGTCTGGGTGTGCTGGTTTGAGATCTGTTATGTGCGGAGAAATAGTTCGTAGTTATCCATCTGATGAAACAAGTCATAATTTAGCACTGCTATCTATTACTTTTAACGCTGGTTTCATTTTGGGTCCTGGCATTAACTTTTTATTTACTTATATTGATTTTTCTTTAGGAGCATGGCATTTAAAAACTGTAAATTTTATAGGAGTTTTTATGGCTATTTTAAGTGTTGTCATGTTACTTTTAAGTGTGACCATGATTCACGATTTATCAAAAGAATTTGACTTAAAAGCACATGAAGAAAAAAAAATTAATGCAGAGATCTTTAATAGATCTGAAATTAAGTCTAGCACACAATCTGATACTTCTAATGAAAGTGTACCGTTGGTTGGTTATACAAAGCAATCTCAGAAGCTATATCTTGCATCATCGGTATCACATATTAGTGTATTCAAAATACTTAAATTATTGCTGACCTCATTTGATGCTGTTTTAATACTTGCTTGCACGTTTGCTATTATTTTTTTTATTGTTACTTTTGATATGTGGTTGCCATTACTAGTAATTGATACATTACATCTTACTATTCTAGAACTCAATGTTTGCGTATTTGGCACTGGAGTCACTAGTGTTATTATATTACTAATATATATGTGGAGACCCGTATCAGAAGTAATATTGTTTTTAGCCGTCATACTTGGTTTAATTGGTATTTGTTTAGTGGACGCAAGTTTTATTTTATTAAAGTATTTTAACATTAAATCAGTTAATATATTTTTTGGCGTTTTGTATATGATGTGTTTTGCTGGAGCAGGAATCATTCCTGATGTATATCTTACAAACACATTAGCAAAACTTGTTAACTCAAAAGTACAAACTTTTGTTGACAGTATTCGTAATTGTATGTACTCTGCTGGAGCATTGTTAGCATTGTCCAGTGCTGCGTACACTTTTGAATATGTTGAAGTCTTTGCCGGTGTTTATATTGGATTAACATTATTATGTATTTACTTACTTATGGTTAGGAAGAAGAATTTGTTAAAACCAAAGATAATATTTTAGATATTAAAAAATTAATTTTTCAAAAAAATATTTCATTCTATGTAGTTTTTTATTTAACTTTATTCATAAGATAAAGTGTTATGAATTAAAATGGTTTTTTTAGTTTAAACAGTTCAGATGTTGATTATTTTAACTGTTAATACTACGAAATTAATATTGTTTGTATCTAAAAAATAACTAAATAAGATAATTTCAATGATCATTAACATGAGCTGAAAAAATTAAGCCTCTTAACAGGTATTAAATGCGCAGCAATTTGAGAGCAGTCGTGGACAGATTGGCTACAGCGTTTGCTTTGGATAAGGAGTATGATATCTCATCACAATTTTTATAAAAAGATATAATACAAGATAACATTTTAGTTTTTTATTTAATGGAAAAAAACACATACGGAAACTCTTTTGATCCTGTGCAGTAAGTATTGAAACCATTACTTACGCTTATTATTAAAAAACTTGTCAATACTCTGTAAAAAATATTTACATTTTGCAATTATTGTTATCAATCTCTAATAATGGTGAATTCTCAAAGTGTTTAGGGGCAACTAAAAACTTTTAAAATGGAATATACTAAAATTGATGAAATGATGAAAATCATTTTTAAATTAGAATTTGAATTAACCAAAAAAAATCAATAAAATTTACGATTTAGAGGATAGAGTTAAGTCTATTATATTAAAGTTTATTAAAGAAAATTCCGCAGATTTCCCACCACTTAAAAATTCTGGATGGATTACAGCTAGCGGAAGTAAAAAGTGGTCACCAGAGCAATTATTAGTAAATGCAGCTGTCAATGAACAAAATAAAAGAAATAAATGAGCCAAAAACGTAATTGTTTATGGAATAGTCGAGTCAGACTATTCCATAAACAATTAAATTTTGACAAACCTTTGCAATCTGAAAAAAATTAAAGATGATATTAAATAAATTGCGGAATTATTTTGGAGTCGAGTTAAAACAAAAAATGTGAGAAGTTGGCGGTCAAAAAAAAGGGAAATACCGGGTCCGATTTTAGCATGAGAAACCCTTTTTCATTTTTTTTCTTTTTTTTTTTTTTTTTTTTTTTTGTAGTTATTTTAGGTGCTCTTTGCGGTCTTATCACAGAGCACCGCGGGAGAGCATTTAACAAGAAGTTCACGCCTCCTTCCATATCAATGTCGCTTGTTGGGTTAGAGCTGGCGTCAAACCTCGGACCTCTGGGTTCTGAGCCAGAACTCTAGCCACTGTGCCACGGCTGCTCACTATAGCACAGTATATTTTTGATATCAATTGAAAATATTAAGAAACTTTAGTAGCCTTAAAAACGCGTATATTTCAACAGATATTACTGAAGCATATAATGTTAGACTTTTAATTAAGACAAGAAGCTAAACTCTTAACTTGCTGCTGATACTACATTTTGATACGCTATCCGTGGAAACAAATTTGTCAAATTTAAGAAACAGCAAGCTGATTAATAACATTACGTGTTTATATACTATTTCAACTTCGCTAAATAATAGAATAGAGGAGTTCAAGGTATTATATAGTGACATAAATCCATGTATTATCGGAGTAAATAAAACTTGGTTAAGAGAGACTTCGATTGCAAATTTAGAAGTTTACTTTTTTTATAGAAAAGATTGTAAAGAAGGTGGAATTGGTGATGGTGTTGCAATATATATAGATAACAATTTTGTATTTTATCAAGTTGGAGATAAACTTCTGAGTTCCAACAAAGGTGAGCAATTATGTCTTGCATTTGGTATCTGTAGCGATAGTTATTTATGAGGATGTATATACAGGCCAAAAGAAATAGTTGATATGGATATCTTTAATAAGGTATTTGAAACTGTAAGATCCTATGTTGATAAACGCAATTTCAAGGATATTATAAATATTGGGGACTTTAATTTTAATAGCATTAAATGGTTTAAAGGTTTTATCAAATTAGTTGAAAACATTGATAGCTCTCATGAATACAGACTTTATGATATTTTGAATAATTGCTTTCTTATTCAGCTTGTCACTTTTCCAACGTTTCAGTTATGGAACAATCAATGTCTAATCATTCTTGACTTATTAGTTTCAACACAAGAGAATGGATTATTCCAAATTGAATTAAATCCAGTTCTAGAAAATGTTGAAAGAGGGCACTTAGTTCTAAGTTAAAAAAATTTTATAGATAAGCAAAGTTTTAGAAATGAGAAGGTAATTGTATGAGATTATTGTAAATCAAATTTCGATTCAATTAATAGATTCTTTCCAATATGGATCGGTAACGTGTTTTAATGTCAAATCAGTCCAAGAAATGTATAATATATTTATATTTTAAATGAATGCAGCGTGTAAACTGTACATTCCAGTTAAAAGATTTGATGTTAATAAAAAAAAGGGTATATTTTGGATAAACAATGATCTTAAAAAATTATTAAAATTAAAAAAACCCTTTAGATTTTGTAACTGTTCTTTAGAATGGAAAGTTTCTTCTCTTGTGAATAAATACAAAACAATTTTGCGAGCTAGACAAAATAATGAAAACAACCAAGTGACAATGACTGAGAAAAATCCAAAGTTAATTTACAAATATGTGAATAGCCAACAACCGATCAATAATTCTATAAAATCTTTACATAATGAAAATGGAATTGTTACAAATGACCCAAATCAGATCGTAAATTTACTAAATAAAAAGTTCCAAGATAAATACATCTTGGAACTTTTTATTTAGTATATTTAGTTCGTGAGAATGACTTGAATTTGCAGCATTTGTGTCAAGTATCAATAATATTTTAATCAATAAGATTTAGATATAATCTCATACAAAGATATTCTTAATAGATTAGAACGTTTAAATACAGAGATGTTGTGTGGAGCATATCTTATTAAACCTTTAATCTTAAAAAATTGCACATATGTAATAGCTTTACCACGTGCACTTATATTTACAGTTTTCATTGTGCTTAGTGAACTACCTGTCCAGTGGAAATTAGCTAACATTAGTCTTATTTAAATTTAAAAAAAAAATTATTCTAATTTAAAAAAAAAAAAGTCGCAGTTGAATTATTGTCCATTTTTCACTCACTTCTGTACCTTGCAAAACTCGAGAAGGAGTTGTACAAGATTTATTTATGAATTTTCTAGATGCAAATAATCTTCTTTTGAAATATCAACACGGCTTTGTTAAAAAAAGATCTTGTTCAACTAACCTTATTGAGACATTAGATGCATCTTGTATTATTTGTCTCAGAATATACCTGTAGATTTAATTTACTTAGACTTTGCAAAGGCGTCTGATTTATTGCCCCATAAATGACTACTGATAAAACTGTAATGTTATGGGATTTCTCGTACATTGTTAAAACGGCTTGAAGCATTTCTAAAAAATCAAAGACAAAATGTTGCCATGGGAGAAATTGTTTAATCTTGAAAGGATATATTTGGTAGTGTGCCGCAGGGATCGGTTATTAGCCCTTTAATATTTATTATTTATATTTATTATTTGTCTGAGAACTTTGTTAATATTTCAATTATATTTGCTGATGATGCAAAAGTATCAAAAGTTGATTGTGAAGAAAGTGTTAACTTATCGCAATATGACCTACACAAAGCTGTCAACTGGTCCGAGAAATGGCTATTAAAGTTTAATTTTTGTCTAGAATCAATGAAATAAAAAAGTCATATAACTCTATGTGCAAGTAAAGCAAAGAAATGTTTTGGGTATATTGAGGAAAACATTTTTAAATAAAAATAGGGAATTACTAAAAATTATATACACAACTTTAGTAAGAACTTTAATTGAATTCGCTGTATCTATGTGATCTAGATATCTTAAAAATGAAACTAATCTCTCAGAACAGCATCGTGGTACAAGAAAAATATTGCTATAAAAAAAACGGTATGAGAAATGATTAGATAAAATGGGTCTTACTACTTTAGTTGTAAGACGGATTCGGGGTGACTTGAATCAAATATACAAGTTATTCAACGGAATTGAAAAAGTAAATTTAATTAATGAAGTTTTGCCAATAAATTATTAATCAACTAGAGGTCATCAAATGAAATATAATCGCGAAATAACTAGTTTAATTGCCTCAGCTATATATTTTTCAACGAGCAGAGCATCTTTTTACTGGAATCGACTACCTATAGGTAGTCGATTCCAGTAAAAAGATGCTCTGCATCATTCCAGTAAAAAGATGCTCTGCAACGACATCAGTATACTGATGTCGTTAATGTTATTTCTATGAATTCTTTTAAAGCTAAACTTGACCTATGAATTTTAAATAATGTAACTATGCTGAAGAATGATATACCTGTCTAAATATAGTTGGTACACTCACCAAATTATCAGTCACAGCTCAAATATATTGCTACTACTATAACTAATGTCACAGCTTGTCATCGCTTAAACTTGAAATATGTTTATATTTGAGCTTTGTGAGAAAAAAAAACATCATAAAGTATTATAGAGTATGTTGCTGGTTCTCTTTCATTTAGAATAACGCTCAAAAAAGTATTAATAATTAAAATTTTATAAAACTCTTTTGAATTCCTGGTGAAAAGTAACAAACTTTTTGTTTTTTAAGTGTTATCTAACCTTTCTATAAAATTTTTAGAAGATATTTGAGGAATGGATCATAATGGCTTATTGAATTTTAAATGGCAATAAAATTATATTTAATGCAAACTACACAACATAATTTTTTTCTCTAAATTTTAAAGTTCTTCCGGCTAGAAACAAATTACCTATAATTCTGTCTAGTGCTTGTTTCCAGGGCAATGCATGTTTCCTAATTATTCACAACAGACATGATATGAAATTATTTAAGCGGAACTTAGATTTAAGTAAAATTTAAAAAAATTGTTATAATATGTAAAAGTTTGTTAAAGTATGAAAAATAAAAGCCTAACAATTAACAAGTAGAATAAAAAATAATAAATGAATAATAATGAAAAACTATAATAATATTTCTCTTTTTATTAAAAACTTGAATTAGTTTACTGATTTTATTAGTTAAATTTTTTTTGAAGCTGTTTTATATCCTAGGC